AACTTAATATATAATATTTTATTTCTTAAAAAAGTCTTCCCCAAGATAATTTCTTGGGTCAATTACACACACACACACACACACACACACACACACACACACACACACACACCTATTTATATGTGCACACCAGAAGATATAATGTGTGTGTACATTTATGGGAAAGTATGCATTTTTATTTGTATGTCTGTGCTATCTAGCATCCATCTATCTTTCTATCAATATTTTTTTTGTGATTCCTAACTGCATAGCTGGGCTAATATTTGTAGTAAGAGATCCTCTTAATTATACCCAAGCCCTTAGAGGCATCTTCTAACCAAATGGCCTACACTGAAGAACAGTGTTGCTAGAACAGTGCAAACCACACAATTACTGGGTCTAGCTCAGGTCTCTGAACTCAATAGCTTGGAATGAAGTCCTAGCATGTACATGTCAAACATATCCCCAAGTGATGCTGATGAGGCAGATTAAAGTCCATGCAATTGTTTGTGCATACACATTATCAAATAAAACAGTAAGTCAGGTATGAATTTAAGAGCTTTCTAAACTGATATCTAAACAGATATTTCAGAAAAATAGATGTAAATGAAGGAGATCATAATCCGATTACAAAAAGTCTCTATGAATGAAAGTCTAAAGAAGAGGAAAAAGGAAATTAAGGTAAGCATGACCTTACAGAAGCAAAGACCGCAGAGGCAAACATGTACAGTGAAACCAGACACAGAAGCAGACATCACATTGAAACTAGACACAGATTGCAGAATTGTTTAAGTGACTGTTGAACTAAAGAATAACTAAATGTATTTGCAAATAAAATGTGTTTTGAAAGAACCCTAACCCTAATGGGCTGTAATGAGAAATTAAGTGAACATTGAATATGCTTGGGTAGAAAATTAGAAAACCTAATAACAAACTTGAAAAAATAACCAGAAGGCATTCAAGAAAAAAAAATGTGTGTGTGTGTGTGTGTAGCGGGGGAAGTGGTGGTGGCACAACATGGTTACAATCCAGAAAGTTCCAGGGAATAATAGATAGCAGTGATGGGGTAATATTTTAGTATTTATTTGGTGAGGAAAGGAGTGTGGAGTTTTAAAACTAAGAAAAGATGCTGACCCCCATCCCAAGAAATTCAGCAAATGTCAAAAAGGAAGATACAGACGTGTACCTAACCACATCATATGGAAACCAAGGACCCCAAAAGCACAGCGCCTTGTAGAAGCACCCAGAGGGAAAAGGTGAGTGGAAGAAAAGCAACAGTTAGAAGGGAGCCCACTTCTCAACAACCAGAGGGTAGGTACAATTTAAGGGAGATAGCTTTGAAATGGCACCATTAGCCATCAGCTTCAATTTTTCATTGAAAAAAAATAGTAAAAAAAAAAATCAACTTCATTCCTGGACAAATAAAGTCAAAGAGATTTTTGCCAAGGAGAACTTACATAGATAATTTTACAAGTACTGAGGAAGAGTGTGAAAAGCATTTCTTCTAATGTTTTTCCAAAGGAAGTCAATTCTTTCAATTATTTTGTAAGAAAAATTTATCAGACTGTCATTAGCAATATGTGTGTGTGGACACACACACACACACACACTGTGTTGGCTTCTGGCTTTTGGGTGTATTACCAGATGCTAGAAACTTAATTAGTGGTCTGAAACTACTGATAATGTTAATACTGGTGTGATATTTCAATGATTTGAATCAGAGTATACTGTAGTCATGACCTCTTAGGCAGATTTTTTTAAACCCTTTGCATAAAACAAACAAACAAACAAACAAACCAAGTGTAAAGGTGTATTCAAAAACTTGGATTTTTTTGATGTTCAATATTTTAGTAAAAGATTTAGTAAAATAGCAATGCTTCAAGTAGAGCTATAATGATTAATATTTCCTCTTCCTCAAAACTAGTGCTGGGGTACACAATGGTGGCTCAGCATTTAAGAGCACACACTGCTTATCTAGAGGACCCAAATTTGGGTACCAGCTTCCATGTCTGGATACTCACAACTGCCTGCAGCTCGAGCTCCAGTAATCTAATGCCTCTGGCCTCTACAGGTACCTATACTTATCTACAAACAAGCAGACAGCAGCATACACAGTTTTTTAAAAAATAAAAATTATTTCCAGAAGTCAGAGTGGAAGAGAATTGCATATGCTGTGTTGTTTCTAAAAGAAAAAAATTAATGATGGCATTGAGACTGAGAGGACTTGGGTATGTTAAAGAGAACTTTGCAGTCCATGCTTATAAAAAAAAAAAAAAAAACTTGGTATAAAAACAAGTCTAAATTCTTCAGGATCTAAATACAGTTGTCATGATTAAACCACATCAGAAATGCCTGGTGAGTTTGTTTCCTTTGACCCTTCCTGAGGATGTGATCTGATAGCCAGTCATCACTGAGAGGGTAGGTAGTCAAGCAGGGAACTAAGAGAAGGGAAAAATTTCATAGGGTGTTAAGTGGAGGGACTTGTAAATAAAAACACCAGAAGTATTTGGAAGGGAGGTGGGCAATGGAAAAAACACTAAGCTAGAAACCATTGCAAGCTCTAAAGCAGGAAAGCATAGAAATAAAGGACCATGGACTACACTGCAATGAGCCCTAGACCCAGGAACAAGATTCAGCTGGCAGATGTGTAAGACAGATGGCTGCTTCTCTGAATTGTGAGTGGAATGAAAGGTTTGAACAGTCCATATATGGCTGCAGGTATATATACGTCATTGTCAAAACAGATGCGCAGAGAAATAACAGCCATATCGTGCTTCATCAAGCCCTGCCTGTCAGATTCACTTTTTTTTTTCTTAAATCATCTCTTCTCTGGGATTTACTAATTTTTATTCACCTATGATGCTGTAGTAGGGCTAAAGCATTATCCCCACATTTGTGGAGTGACTAATATTTACATTTCACCGTGATGTCACAGTCACAATGTCCCTGGTAGCAAGCATAGTTGTTGGATTATCCTCCCAGATGTTATGACTCAGAGGCAGTTCTCAGACCACATGAAGGGGTCAAAACTGTACCACTGAGCCATATCAGGATTAGGGGGATGATGTTTTCTGAACAAAGGAACTTAAGGAGGAAGTGAAGGAAGCTTTAAGGAGTCACAAGGAGTAGCTTGGAGCAGCATGTCTTCATTTATACTGACAATAGACTCCATCTCTGGAAAACTCCCTTCAATGGGAACAATGTATTGGTGGGCAACAGTCTTGTAAGGGTAGCCTCTCCAGGGAAAAACAACTGAGTTTCCCCCCCTAACTCTTCACAAATTTGAGCATCAGAGATCCCTTAGGAAAAGACAGCAGTTACACTGAGAATGGTGTGGCTGGTCTCCTCCTCAGATACTAGCAAAGTTTTCCATCTGATGCCTGGCAGAGCCACTGACCATTACCATAGTTCTAAGTGTTCTGCAAACTGTGCAAACCATCTAAACACATTTCAGTGAGTGAGGACAGTGCTTAGCCTAGCTCTTTCCTGAGATGGTTGTAAGAGTGACAATCATCACTAACAGAATGCCAGATCTCTGCTAACCACTCCTTATTCTATTCATTACCATTTGAAGTGCTCCTTTTGAGTCCTTGCATGGAAGGGAGGGATCGTCTTTTGCTCTGCCCATTTCCATCTCCCTGACTCCTTCAGTGAGCCTGGGAAAGAAGAGCCCTGGGTCACCTTGATCTTGACCCCACTTGCCTACAGAGATGATCTGACTTATCCTGTTCTGCCAGTATTGAGGTCATTGTTTCAGAAGTGAAACCCAACCTGAGAAGACCAAGCTGGGGCTCTGCTTTACCTACATTAGGGATGAAGCCAATGCCATGATCCCACTTTTCTTACAGTTGCCTTCTCAGCTGGGTCTAACCTGTGGAGGGTAAGAGCAGTGCCATTATCTATCAGCTGGTACCCAACACTTACCAGGATGCTGGATAGTCATGGGGGTGTGCACCTAAAGTTCTCTATTCTACCAATAATCCAATGCCAGGTTAGAAGTTAGCTGATGGCATCTAGAAGATGCACTTAGGGATCCACTGTAACATTTAGCTGATACAGGAATCTATTTGCAGCAGTGACTAGATAAGGGGACAGTAGAGCCCAGTCAGGCACTTCATGTCCAGGCTCCTTTGATGTCAGTCCGAGCTTAGAGTATTTTTTTCAGGCTATACTGCACATGGAAACTCTTCCTAGCTGATCCCCCTTTCTCCATTTTCTCCTTTCATTTATGCATGCTCTGTCTCCAGCTCCTCTTCTTTTCATCCTTGACAGACTTCTCTTTGATAAATACACACACTTCTCCTTCCACACAGAAGATGACTTTTCATCAAGACCTAACAACAATAATGATACCAGACTCTTCATTTCATTAAGCACAAAGTGGACTTCCAGAGAAGTAAGTAGAAGTTGTACATATTCTGCCATTCAGAAGCTATGCACTGAAAACACATCACATCCAACTTTCAAAGAAAATTTGCATAATTGTAGGCCACACTAGGGTTATTAAAGACAGCATCATTCCTTCAGAAGCCTGAACCCAACGGGACATTCCCATTCATTGGAATGCCTCTAGAAAATAGGAGAGAGATGTTTGCAGCATCACTGAGGTTTGATTCTGGAAACCCTGAAAATATGTTCATGCAAAAAAAACAAACTATCCCAATAAGAAAATAGCCACAGAACTATTCATCATGTGTGGGCCTTGACCCTCAGTTCCACATGGTTAGAGGACATCTTGGTTTTAATACAACTCACACAATTTCACCTCACAGAAATGCAAACTATGCTGTGTAGAGAACACAAATTTTTAAAACTCATATGTCTTCTTTTTCTTTAACAACTACAAATTTGATTTCTCATATTCACAAAAGACACTGAATGTATAGGAAAGAACAATAGAATTGTTCTGTGGCATTATTTTTAACCCCTATGGATATCTAAATGTGAAAGTATACACATACTTTAAAAGGAAATACAAGCTTGTCACCATGGCATAAATTTTGAAAGGATGCAGGATTTACCTTCACTGGAGTCTTTTGAACTTTCTGGTTTCTTTGCTTTGCTCTTCTTGTGGGGTGGAGAAAGGCCTTTAGGCTCTAGCCCTTCTGGAAGTACAAAGATTTAATAATTCTTATTTAAATATACCAGTAAGGTCAGAATGTGTTAAAGTTTAAAGATGTTTTCTCCTTAGTAACCTCTGCCTCCACTCCCTTCCTCCCCCCACCACACACACACTTACGGAACCTTAGCTACAGATTATCTGTCATTGGAGCGGAACTAAATTTTGTGAAGGAGCTTGAATTCTCCATCTTTCTATATAGACTTAAACTTAAGCTCCAATATTTTTATGTGGACATCATCAATCATTCATATAAATGCCAAATCATGTACAAGTATTATTTTAAAAACGGAATAATTCTCCATAAGAGAAGTCTAAGAGATTCCGCTTTGCATTTTATGGCTTAGTAGGTACCATTATACCTTTCGTTTTAGTCTTCGGGTAGGCAAAATGAAATACAATATCACCTCACCTTTAAGGTGCTGGGGGACTGGGAAAGAGTGTTTCCATTGAACAGGCTTCCTTTGGATCTAGAATCTAAGTAATATTCTAGTATGTTCCTGACTAATCTATTGAGTTTAACAATTTTCTCAATGTTTTCTTAAACTTACCAACAGGGACTAGGAAAGTGAAAGGGAGTCTGGAGAGACAGCTCTCAATTCAGCTCATCTGATGGGAATATTTGCTGGCCTCGAGTTGCAGTTTCTGCCTAACCTTTCTACTGAGCTCAGTGTTGAAGTCTTATGCCTTTGTTGTCTCATGTTTTTGGTTTTAGGCTGGATGTCTGAATGTCTTCTGCTTGCTTTCCATTCCATTCTCTACCTGGTAACACCTTTTCCTGCACCGTAAGACTAGATGCTCTGGCTTGCATCAATAAACTCAATACTTTATCTTCTTTCAATGGAACCCAAGAAATCTACTTTATGGAATCCTGGTACTCTTTGTGGGCTGACTGATCCTCAAATTAAGGTTAAAATCACTATAAGCTGGCCTTCTTCACAGGTTACAGGCCCCAAAGCCACCCTTACTATTACTCCATGAAAGGCTGGGACTTACATGTCTTACCCTCTCAGTCCAAATGGTTTCCCTTCATTCAACCCATACCAGGAATCTCAAATCTAAAACCAGTCAAAACTACTCATCATATGTACAAACTTCTCTCTATAGTATTCCACATCTGGAAGAACAGCATTGCACACTGTTTATGAACCAATTGAAACTAAAACCTAGGTATCACCATTCAAACTTATGCTCACTTGTGCTCCCCTCTCCCCAGCCAACTAATGATGCCATCTTTGCTCTAACACATCCTAGACTCATCTGTTATGAATTGTTCTGGCACCTGAGTCAGCAGCCCCTCCTGCTGCTTCTCAGTTCCTGCCTGTAGCCTTTTAATCTCCATTTCTAAGAACCTTGCTTCTCCTCCTCTACATTGTGGTGATATATTATTTATGATTTATTTCTGAGGATTCAGAAAGCAAAGTCAGACACAAGCCATAGAAGCCAAGCACACACCTTTAATCCTAGAAGCCAGAAGCTAGGAAGTGGTAGAAGGCACCTTTAATTCTAGGACTCAGGATTAAGGGGTAGACAAATCTCTCTTGAGTTCAAGGCCACCCAGGGATAAACAAGGTTGAATCAGTCTAAAACAGTAACAGGGTACACACCTTTAATCCCAGTTCTAGAGGGGTATAAAAGACAGAAGCAGAGTCTTCAGCATTCAGTAGTAGGCTTTCATTCTCCAGCCACACCAAAGAGGCAGCCAATTCAGCCTGAGGTAGCGGTAAGAATTATTGGTTCACTGTTTTGCTTTTCTGTTCTTCAGCTTGAGGTTTGAAGCCCAATACCAGTCTCTGGATATTTTATTTATTTGTGTTACACCACACTGAATGCTTTTAAAATGTAAGTCAGATCTGTGTGCTCCCTATATAAAAATCGCTACTTATCATCACTCACTTCCACTGCAGAGCACAATGTGCTGTTTGGCCCTGTTGACACCTATCGCTTCACCTCCCATTTGCCTTTCATGCTCTTCTTCAATTTCCCCTGATGTTTTATATGCGTGTTTGTCTGTGTACCACATGTGTACAGTGTCCACAGAAACCAGAAGAGGATATAGGATCACTTGGAACTGGAGTTACAGGTAATCATGAGCTGCCATGTGTGTCCTGGGAATTGAACCTGGGTCCCCTGGAAGAACATCCGGTGTTCATAACTGCTGAGTCATATCTTCAGCCTCCCTTTTTTATTTTAATTTTTTGAACCACAGGTAGGCAGATCCCTGCCCCAGGACTTTGCTAATGCCCCATACTCCGTACCTCTAGCACATCTCTGCCTACTTTTAGGTTTTCCTTTTAGTTTTACAGACTTAATTCACCACCTCACCCCCACCCATGTCCTCAGGAGGCAGGGGAGGCTTTCTCTGACCACAAATGTAAAGAGCCTATAAGGGAAGCCTTTCAAAAACACATCACTTGTATCTGGAATTATCTCACTCCCTTGTTTATGTCTTTATACACACATAGCCAATTAAAAGTCTCACTAGAAAAGAGCACTTCTTTTTTTCAAAACCCTCCTGTATTCTTGGTGCTGAGAAGTACAGTGCGAGTTGCATTTTGGAGTCTATTTTATTTTTGCTTCACTGGTCCTTTCTTTAAGTCCAAGATATAATAGGTCTATGCTTAATTCCCATTTTCTTAGCAGCTGTTGCCTCATGCCAGAATTCTAAAATTATATTATGGGACCATGGTTAACTCATTTCTCCCCTCTCTCTTTCATCTTTTAAGAAAGAAACAGAACAACAATAAACTAATCCCACATTTGATAGATGTGTTATTAAAAAATTTTTGGCATCATAGACTACAAAGGTGTGGGGCATGAGACTAGGTTTTATGTGGTCACAAGTCAGTCATGGCTAAGGTTATTACCAAGGCCAGGGTGAAATATATTGCCGATGACTGCATTAGCAACTTGCTGACTTCTGTCACAGGTGTACGATGTATGCTGACCCTTTAGAATGGTTCAGCAAAATCAGAAATGAGGTCTTTTGAACTGCTCATTGCATACAAATATCAGGTCCACCGAGAGTCACAAAGCAGGCAAGGCAACATTGTGATCTCACCATTGGAAGATCTAGTCCCATTGTACCCCGAGCCTAGCTGCCCTGGGGGCTAGGCAAGAGTCTGTAGAGATGAAAATGCAACTTTAAACCAGGGTTTTTTTTTTTTTTTTTTTTACATCTGAATGTTTTAATAATTGCATTCAAGTTTGTGGTTTCCCACCTTAACAGAAATTATTAGGGTCTAGGTAATGTTTTCAAAGAAACCTGTTCACCTACATTTGAAGATATTATAATACCCCCCAATATTAACACTTTCTATTGTAAACTACTCTCTGGGCATTCAGTGGACATGGAAGTTTGCTGCATAAAAGGTACATTGTGAAATTCATAAGTATTTGATCCTTTCCTGATGCCCACAGGATGTTCAAATAAAAGTCACTGATAAACATGACCTCTGTGTAATGTTCCTCTCTGAGACTCAGCAGTGGGGTCATTCCCTCTTGGTCTGAAGGGAGCTGAAGGAGAAGCTGATTTTGTTTCTCTTTGAACACAGTGCTACGGGCCTTCTTGATGTGTACTATTTTTGGTTGTCTGTTTTTGGCAAAGACTGGACTTTGGAGTTGGCCATGAGCATGGCCCCGTTCCTTCCCCTCCCCTAGGTGAGCAGCATTGTGATGGCTTAGATTGGTCCAAGTCAAGAGTGTGTGGCCCATGGAGATGTAAGGTCATGAGGAAACATTTGGCATGCACGAATTAAGGATGATTAAAGCACTAAAAAGGTTTTACGTGTTTAAGGCAGTTTGTTTCTTTCAGGGGAGAATGTCACCTTGAAGGCCTATCAACTCCATTTGAGATGCTTCTGCTTCCATTTTCTCTAAGAGTCTGGAGACCAGAGCAAAAAGTTAAATCACATCAATTTTGGAGTAAGGCAAACTAAGATTCAAATTCTGTTTCTCTACTATTTGAGTAAGAATTAACTGAAAGCTCCATAATCAAAGTCTCTGTTTGTCAGCTGCTATATGAAATAAATCCATAAACATCCAGTGATCTGGACAAAAGAATGCCCAACTGAAGTCTGGTGCACTCAGCAGTTTGCTAAGCCTGACCTGAACCAGCTCACTCCAATCAATTGTGGTATCTCCTCCCAGCTCTCGTATTGGGAGCTTTCAAAAGTGCATGGCTGATATTATCCCACCTGTGAAATCATTAGAAGCTTCCCATCAGAACTCACACCACCCATAGAGCCAATTGGCAAGCATGGCGTTGCCTTTAGATATTGAAGTTGTTATTCACTGCCACTCAATAGTATTTGTTATCAGGTTGAGTCACTTAAACAGCCCTTCACTAGGTTGCTTGTATTAACCATCTCTATAGCTTTCCTACTTCTATGAAAAGAGGTGACATATGGCAGAAGGAATGCAAAAGTGAATGGTCTTAGGAGAGAGCTGGACTCATCTTACAGATCAACATACTCCACTGTGAGATTAGAATAAAATCAGCCTGCACACCAACATCTGGCAGAACCAGTTGGAATGCTATGGACCATCCGGCACACAGGTCTCCCATGGTTTCAGTACTCAAACATTAGGAGATGCAAACTAGCTCCCTATACCTATTCTGTCTTGGCATCACAGATCACTGAGTGTGACTCGTCCAGATGTTAAAGGCAGACCTCCCTGGAAATCGGCTGGGACTAGAATCAGAAATAATGATAACACTCTGGACCACAAATGCTGATTATAGCTTGTGGAACCCTCCTTCCTTTCAACAATTTCTTTAAAATGAACCAACGGTTTGGATAGTTAGCTAACTCTATTTAAGACATCAAGTCCCTTTGCCTAAAAATGTGTACCTATGGCACTGAGGCAAATGATGCATGGGAACATAAAGCTGACTGAAAGGGCACAACCCTTATGGCTGAAGCATCCTCCAAGGACACTTCATTCAAGGAATGCATGGGAATAACTAAGAATAACACCGGACTCATGCAAGTTAATTTAGGACAGATTTTAAAAAATAAGACGTTCTACATGGATATAAGAATTGAAGTTTTATAGAAATTTTATCTTGGGCTTTCTGTTTCACAAAATTCAAACAGGTTCCTTGTCTTGGGTTACATTGTCCCAGGTATAAATACTAGGACAATGTTTTGAGTATAAGTAGAAAATTTGAGAATTAATCTCAAGACATATCAGAAAAGGACTAATGAGATAAGATAGGAGAAGGGAGACAGAGAATTCTGCATATATTCATGAACAAGTCCCACCATGGGCATCATAGGCTCAACTCTGGGAGACTTCTTGGTATGGATATAGATTCATGATGTTTAATATCCCAGCTATATAAATATTTCCAGTGAGAACTGGAAATGTGCTTGCTTAATATGGACTGAGATGAGGATACAAGATATGCATGGATGTCAAAGTTTTAAAATTAAAACTTAGACATGACATCTAACAGAATTTCTATATTGATTATAGGTTGGAGTACTAACATTTTTGGATAGCTGTGCTATATGAAATTTTACTAAAGTTAGTTTCATTTTTGTATTTTTAACAAAAGTACTAGAAAATAAAAAATTACATATGAAGCTCATATATTTCTATTGATTGGAACACAACATAGCCCAGAACTTGTCTCAGATATGTGTGTGTGTGTAACACAAGTTCTAATACGTATTAATAATAAAAGCCCAGAGTAAGATATTAAGGAGTGAAAGCTGAAAGATCAGAGAAGCAGAGCAGCCAGCCACTAGAGAACTTACCTCTACTAAGTCACCACACTGAAAAGAGACTGAGTTCCTGTCTCCTCCTGCCTATATTCCTCGCTCTGCCCAGCCATCTCACTTCCTGTCTGTCTATACAGGCCTCCAGATCTCTATGATTAGTTAGTGGCTAGCTCTACCCTCTAATCTACAGGCAAGCTTTATTTGTTAGAGTATAAACAAGATATCATCGTGTGTGTGTGTGTGTGTGTGTGTGTGTGTGTGTGTGTGTGTGTGTGCTGCTGAGGTTTGAATCAATGTCCTTGCACAATGACTCTCACTGAGCTAGATTCCTGGGAATCTGACTCTTATGCATCATTGATTGGTAGGAGAACTACTGCAGAGAAACACACTCACTAGTACATTTAGTTTTCCTACATGAATAGAGAAAACCACTCAGCTGAGGGCCATAAAAGCTATCATTAGAAAGTTTCCATTTAAAGCTAAGAATGAGTGCAGAGGGGACATAGGCAGGGCTGGGTTGCTGCTGCAACAGTCCCTCCTCTGCTCCCTCCATTCCTGCTTCTGACTTTCACAGTCTTCATCCACTTCTCACTTTAGTTGAGTCCGATGCCTTTGTAGGGAAGGGAACCTTATAAATCAGGCATGTCTAGACTGGAGAAGAGTAGAGAAAGGCTGTGGTCCAGTGTACTTTTAAGAGGAAAGGGAACAGATGTTATTTCTCTATGTAGGGAATGGATTGCCACAAGAGGGAAAGAATTAAACTAAATGCAGAGAATGTCCATTTTAATGAACTCTCACTCAGTGAGACCCTTCACAACGAAATTGGAAGCTCTGTTAAATGGAGATGCTGAGACCAATATTGTCAGTGACTTATAGGATGGTCTGGCATCGAAATTGTAGGATACACAAGACTAAAATCTTTGAGATAACTGTTTTAAAATTTGAAAGCTGGGCCCATTTCAGGGCAAAAACATTCTGATTGTTGAAATGGAGACTATGGGCCTCTTAATGATATAATTAGCTCTGCAGATGAAAGGAGAGCAGACAGTAACAGCATTTTGAAGCTTTATGGAGAGTTGAGCACTGTAGACAGCTTTTAAGGTACATTATCTCATTGAATCTTCTAAATTAAACAATATGGTGAAGACTGTTGCCCCAGAAGTGAACAATGAATATTGTAGAAAGATACTTAAAGTCAACAAATGGTGTATCAAGAACTGTATTTGAGTCTGTTGATCCATGAATTACTATTGATGGACATAGTGATTGGCTCCCTTAGGTATGGGCTCACACTTTTAACCACCAGGTTTCCTTGCGATTCTAGTATATCTTGAATGGTTGTCATATATTTTAATAATGAGAATGGTATTTGCTATATGACATTCATCAAATATGGCCACAGGAACAGCTGAGGCATTAAAAGCTGTGAAGAATCATTTACAATGGCTGAAGTGATGCTGTGAAACTTTTACACCTTGACCTGAAGAAGGTGAAGCATCTCCTTGGCTCATTGACTCTTTCAAGACAGCATCAGCTGGCCACCATGTTGGAGGGACTTCTAGATCTTCTAAATCACTTAGAGTGTTAAGTTCAGAAATTGTCTCCAATCACAATTCAGCTCAGAGTTGAGCCACTCATCATCCAGGCAGGTAACTAAAAGAGTTTTTTGAATACTCCAGGTCCTAAGTGAGGCCCAGATTTTATAAAATCAGATGAGTAAATTTTTTCTATTCTGGAATTCTCAGACCTAATTTATCAGCAAAACAAACTGTTGTCTTGAGCACCAAGATGTGGTGGTGGTTTTTATAACTCTGCTGGTAATGTTTCTTTTCTTTCTTTTATTTTTTTCCCTTTACTCTATCAAGAAGCTCAAAGTTCAATTTAGTAAAACAGTTAAACATAGTGACTCTGTTTGACTAAAGGGTTACTATAACTGCTACCTTATTTCATGATGTTGAACACACTTTCTGTTTTATTGATCTTATTCAGTCTTTCTTTAAAAATTATAGGAGTGGACTAAGTAAAACTGGCTCCCGATTTTACGGTCTTAATACCTGCATCTTCTTTCATGTCAGCATCAGATGTTCCTTCATTGTTATCATCTGTTGGAAAAGGAAATAAAAGACTCAGATCAATGCAAGAAGCACCAGAATGTTCTGATTTAATTCGTCAAATAACAAAAGAAAAGCAAAAGGAAAGTAGAAAGCCAAGAATTAAAGCAGCCATTTCTCCTGTATCATCATGATGGGTTTGAAGAAAGTGTACCCATATAGCAGAACCTAGCACCGAGGGTTACATTCCCCTTTATATCAACATGTATGCACAATAATTTGTTTTATTTATACAAAGTATGTATAGTTATATTGGTCATCTCAATTCTTCAAAACTGTTACACATGAATTTTAAATAGCATGTATTCCACACTCGGAGAAACTATGTGTGCTCATCTCCAGTGTTAGGAGAGTGGGCACACTGACATCTGCTACCTGTGGTGTGATAGGAGCAGTGCTGCTCTGCAGTAAGACAGACCTTCCTCCATCTGCTCCCATGGACCCCACTGGTGGTCTCATTTCTGTTCATTTCCCTTCATTTCTCATAATAATACCTTCTAATGGACAAGGATGTGTGATTCCTCTGCACTGTGACAACATGTTTGTTGAACAACTCCCTCTCTGTCTCCCTTCCATGCCATGGTGTGTGTGTGTGTGTGTGTGTGTGTGTGTGTGTGTGTGTGTGATGGGAAATGATCTTCCTATATAGCCCAGGCTGTAATGACACCATGCAAAAATTATTCCAATCCTTCTGCCTCAGTCACAGAACCTGGTTGTACTTACTCCTTTGAACTCGGCATGCTATGTCTCTCCTTGAATGCGTCTCACATCTAATACCTGGGTCTGAATGTCTGACAGCCCTTTATATGTTCAGTACTTTCCCCAAAGTCATGATCTTTGGAAGATGATTTCATCACCAAGGTGAAGCCCTGGTGAATGAGAGCAGTTGCCTTAAGGAAGGGGTCAAGGGGAAACCCAGTCCCTGTTTTTCCATCAAAGTCATGGAGAGAGGATGCTCTCTGTAAGGAACTGGACCCCAGCAGGGACTAGAACTGTTGCAATCTAGGTTGTGAGAAATAAACTTTAGTTTTATATGCCTTTTCATTTATAGTATTTTTTTCAGCAGTCTAGACACTAAATACAAGTCAATGCTATATGTTTGTTCCCCTCTGGTCACTTTACTATACTCTAATTCTAACCCTCTGCCTTATATGCCTTGGAGGTTTCCCAATCAATCCTTTTTGTTTCTTCCTTTGACACATTTTTCTTTCATTGATAGTGGCTGCCAGCTCAATCTTAATATAGTTCTGCTCTGGTCCACAACCACATGGTAACAGCTCCCTGTGCAAAGCGCAAAGCCCAATTCTTAGCTGTCTGACTTTTGCCTCTAATACTTAAGGTTGACAATATCTGGTTCAAACCAGTTTCCTTACTTTATGACATTGGTGTTATCACCTAGACAGATGGCAACACTCAACTATTTTCTGTTTCCTTGAGGTTTTTGCTCTTACTTTATTTTATGTTGCTATAACAAAATACTTGAAGTGGGAACTTTACAGATACAAGTGGTTTATTTAGTTCACAGCTTTGGGGGTAAAAAGATAGGGTAGCATGTTCCCAACTCTTCAGGCCTCTGTGGAGAGTCATTGGCTCTATGTCATCATACAGCAGATAGCATCAACAAATAGCCACATGCACATGTTAAGAGTGAGCAAGATGGGAGGGAGAGGCACAGTTCTCCTTCTCTCTCCTACAGTGCTAGAATCTGAACACTAACCCAGCCCTATGAGGATCACACTACCTAGTGTAGTTCCTCACATGATCTAATTATCTCTAAATAGCATGAAATTTTGACACCATTACCCTAGGGACCAATATTCCAGAACACAGACCTTTGGAGGACAAACCATAGTATTTTCCTTTCCTCTATCTGCCTCATTCCTGCTAGCAAAACCATCTCTTCACCTATACCCTTCAAAACAAAGTTTGCATTTTTTTTGATGAAGATAAGCAGAGGTTTCACTAAGAAAAACAAGAGGCAGCAAAATCAGAAAGGGTGTTTATGAAGGTTTTCCCAATCATCTATTTGATGCAAGTTGAATTAACTATTATTTTAACCTTATTTTTTGCTGTCTTATGGGTATATACTTTCAAGACATTTGAACTCAGGTCTGCTTACTGGCCCTTCAGCCCACTCCTTTAATAGGCATGTAATCTTGGAGAAGTTGCCTATTCTTCCTAAGTTTCAGGTTCCTCAGTCATAATGAATGATGACAACAATGTCTATTATATAAACTTTTTCTGAGGACTAAGTTACCTAATGCCATGCAAAACACTAGAACAGGTATTGAAACATCATCAAGTGCTAATATTGCTTATTGTTTCTACAAAATGTCACAATCCGTCACTTGTGGATATATCTACCTTCTAAATGCCGACCTCATGTATATTAGGAGGATGAAGGCCATGTCATGTGTCCCTTGGTACCGAGTACCATGCATTTTATGTAATAGAATAGATGAACATTTCCACTAAATGACCAAACCATAAACAAGTATCTAATCTTGGGAAAGTGACATAAAACAATATAACCCTCAGTTTCTTAATCTGAAAAGCAGGGTGGTGAGGTAACCAACTTCTTACAACTGGGGGCAGGGTGTGCACATTTGCACACACACACAGCTTGCACAGGATAAGCTTTAAAAGCTACTGCTTATTTGGTGATATGACACTGGTATTCTACCCTTCTACTTTGGTAGCCATTGGTAAACACTGTCACATACATACAAGAGGCATAATAGTCCTGAAGACTATTATGAGGATAAGACTCCCTTTACAGAAATCACAAAGTGAGTCATCATGAGCAGAGTTCAGGCAGCAGAGTAGGAAATGATGGGTGGCTATAGGTGAGCAGAGGTTCTACCACAGACAGGAAAGAGAACTTCCGTGCATGCTTTCCAGAGAAGGTTAGGGTCACCTAAAAGGTAAGCTGAGGCTAACGAGGTAAGAGAGCCAGAAGTGGATTACCAGGGATGGAAGTCTCTTGACTACACGCCCCTGCTCACTGACCCTTTAAATGTATTAAAGCTTGCCGACTGCTGTGTGGGTTCCTTACCTAAGAGTTTTCTCTGGTGTTGCATCCTAGAGCTGAGCCAGCTAAAGGAATTCTATATAATAAATACATCTCAGGAGCCGGCCTACCACACATGACTGACAGCTCCCTGTCTCTCAAGCTTGCCCCCAAGTTCCCCAAGCTTGTTCCACATGATTTCCACAAGGCTCCTTTCCTCATTGAACTGGAGGTGCTTGAACTTGGACAGAGATAGAGTGTAAGTGGTTTGGAATTTAACCCATTGACTTTCTTCCTTTCCCATTCCCCCTTCTCTTTTCTGCTGGTGTGATGGGAGATGTCATTCTCTAAATATGCTTCTCATATTGGTTAATGAATAAAGCACTGTTGGCCAATAGGAAAGCAAGATAGGTGGGACTAGGAGACAAGGGAGGAGATTCAAGACGGAAGACTGAGAGAGAAGAATGTCGGGGCCTGTTTCCGGTAAGATGAGATCATGTGGAAATACTTAGATTAATAGAGATGGGTTAATATTTAAGACAGAGCTAGCCAATAAGAAACTAGTAACTGGCCAACAGCATTATATCAAATACAATGTCTCTGTGTGCTATTTGGGGCTGGCGACTGGTGTTTCCTGGGATTACCTTTCAACAAAATATCACTACACTTGAATCCTTGCTTCAGGACAGGTCTTGGTTGCTATTTATTTATTTGTTTGTTTGTTTTTATTTTTAGCACATTCAAACAGAAGGAAAATACTTGGAAATATGTATGTGAGCAGTCAAAATACCTTTAATGAAATGAAACTAGCTCTGAATGGCAGAGTCTGATAAACCAAAGCTTGAGTGGTGTAATGGTTCATTTTATAAGCCATGTGACTGGGCCAAAAGGTTCCCCCCAACACCATTCTGTGTGTGTCTTTGAGGGTGTTTCTGGAGATTATCATTTAAAGAGGAAGACTGAGAAAAGTAGATGGCCCTCCCTTATGTGAGTGAGTGTCAGGAAAGTCCCTGTAGGACAATAAGGTTGAACTTCACCTGGAAGAAGGGCATACTTCATAGTCTACTATCCGCAGGGTTGGCTTGACCATTCTCATGCTTGGACCCTGTTTCTTCTCTACCTTTGAATTCAAACTGAAATTTTGCTTCTTGCTTTGTCTTAAGCCTCCAAGTACTCAATCTAGAGCAGTGGCTCTCAATCTTCTCAATGCTGTGACCCTTTAATACAGTTCCTCATGTTGTGGTAACCCCCAACCATAAAATTATTTCATTGATACTTAATAACTGTAATTTAGCTACTCTTATGAATCAGTGTAAATACTTATATGCAGGATAACTGATATATAACCCCCAAAGGGGGTCACAATCCATATGTTGGGAACTGCTGGTCTAGAACCTCACCACTGGCCTTCGGATTCTAATGTCATTGGCCCTGGAGGAGAACTGTACTACCTCTTCTTTGAGGTTACCAGCTGGAGACTTTTCAGTTTCTGTAATTTTATGAGCCATTCCTTATAGTAACTATTTTGCATACACAGGTGAGTTCATCTGTTTTTCTGGAGAAACCCCAAGAAAAGATTTCTAAAAGAAAGTAAGTTCTGACCAATATGCCAGCATTTGAAGTCTATGATGAGAATTAGAATAGCTAATCAACTTTAGGCAGATTGATGCCCCAAGTTTTGAAGGAAAACTTTTTTCTTCACCAGAGGAACTTATCATGAGATCATATGATATATGCCTTGATATTCTGCTATTTGCTTTGGATAGGAAAAGTACATGATATAGTTACATATTAAGTAAATTCTCCTTACTTTAACATTCCATATAATGTGCTTTCTGGAGTCATACGTGTGAGCTATTTCTAACAGGGCTTCTCTTCCTAACAATACCAGGAGCCAGAATGACATTACATAAAAACAGGTGATTTCCTCTGAAGATAGGGAGTCATGGCACTGAAAATTTGGACATAGTTAGAAGACTGA